TACTTAAATCTTGTCTCACTTCTTGCTTGAGTGGTTTCTGATAAGAAACTGATGTCTTATCATCAGTTTTGATGAATTGCTTTTTCTGTGTAGGTAAGGTGTTGCTGCTCTCAAGGTTTTTGTTTGTTTGGTTTTGGTTTCCTGAAGCTTTTTTATGAAGAGTTAGGTGTGAATTTAATTGGGTTTATCCTGATTGGGGTTTGCTCACCTTCTTGAATATATAGTAAGTCTCATTCCAGACTTTGGATTTTTAAAGACATTTCTTTAAGTACTTTTTCAGTCCTATGTTCTTTTTTCCTTTACTTCCAGGACTCTTATAATATTAGATCTTTTGTTATAGTTTCATATGTCCCTGAGACTCTGTTCATATTCTCCCCCAGTCTATTTTTTTCTGCCATTCAGATTGGGTAATTTACATTGTTCTGTTTCTCATTTCACTGATTCTTTCTTCTTTTCTCTCTGGTTTGCTGTGGAGATCATCCACAGATTTTAGCTTTGGTTATTGTATCTTTCAGTTCTAAAATTTCTATTTGGCTTCTTTTTATAGGGTTTTTTCCTCAGACTTCGTATTTCTATGATAAAGCTTTTCTCTCATTTGTTTCAAGCATGTTCATAATACTTAAAATATTTTTATCATTGCTTCTTTAAAATCTTCGTCAGATAATTCTCACATCTCCTTCATCTTGGTCTTAGCGTCTATCGATTGTCTCTCAGTTTGATATCTTCTTGGTTCTTGATGTGCCGAATGATTTTCTGTTGAATCCCGGAGAGTTTGGGTATTACGTCATGAGACTCTGGGTCTCTTTTAAACCTTTTGTTTTAGCTGACTTTATTGACAGTACTTCAGCAGGGAGTGTAGGTGGAGGTACAAGTCCAAGTTCCTTAATTGCCTCTTGATACTGGAGTGGATGGGCTCCTCCTTACCAAGGGTGGTAGGTCTCGGCACTAGGCCTCCACTGACACTTCGGTGGGCGTGGCCTTGTTGTTGCTGGGCGGAGGTGCAGCCCTGGCTTTCCACTAGGCCTCCTCTGACATCACTCCGCCACGGAGATGGAGGAGTCCCTCCTTTCTCCAGGTGAGGATGGACATACGGACTCCTCACATGGTTTCCACTGGAGTTGTGGCGGTGGAGCAGGGCTTATTACCAGCTTCCACAGATGAAGTCCTGGCTGCCTGCGGGGCCCTTCACCTCCTTGGCAGGCATGAGGGATGCTCCATCACAGCCTGTTAGTAAGGAAGTGTAGCAGTCCCTTTTGGCCTTTGCTCCTCTCAGTGGGGGGTGGAGGCACATTTTTTCACATCTTCAGTTGACATGGAGTGGTTATTGTCTAAAAGTTTTTCTGTTTTACTAGGCTGACCTTTTGGTTCCTCAGCTAGAGAGAGCAGGCTTTTGGGGGAGGCTGTTTCAAAAACATATATTTCTGGGATGCTGGCTTTTTTTAGCTTCATGTTTGGGATACAGGAGACAAGAAAACCCTGGGAACTCACTACTGTATCATTTCATGAGTCTCAAGGTACCTACCCACTCTGTCTCCTCTCCATATTTCAGAGATTTCTTACATTTGTTTAATATACAGGATGGGGCAGAAGTAGGTTTACAGTCGTTTGTATGGAAAAATGCAATAATTAATGAACGATACAAGGATAAACTCTGTTTCGTGTAGTCACACCCATAACCCTACTTCTGGCCCAGGCTGTGTATTCCCTGAGCTCTTTAGTTTCACTTAGCAGGAAGAACAGAGGAAAGTTCCTCCACTTTTCAGAAGCAGGATTATCCTTATGAAAGAGTGTTAGTCTCTTTTACTATATACACTTTAAGAATGGCAAAGTAATCTACCCTAAAACCACCATTTTCATCATCTTCAGTGTATGTGTGGTTTGCATTTATATAATTTACATAGCATTTTTATGAAAGCCCCTTAAAAGAATGATAACATCCTGGTGCTGCTTTTCACCAGTTGTTACAATGATCCCTTAAAAGAGTAGAATAAAATAGTTGTTCTTCCCAGTAATCTAAGGCAGTGAATTTTAACCTCTCCTAAACCAATTACTGAAATTATGTGGCACATCGAAAATATGTATTTTTGCCAATCTGACCAAAAATTAGGTATAATTTTGATTCATTCACACTAGATTGCTATCGGCATATTGGCTATTGTCATTTTTTTATTTAACAATCTAAGGGAAAAGAAGTCAGTGCCCCTTCCTAAATAGTCAAATATTGCATGTTTTAAACATTCTTGCAGTGTGCCTTCTGCTGCACAGCGGTTGAAAATCGCTGATCTAGGATGTTGAGTGGACAACTAGAACGTCATTGTGTTGCAGGAATCTGCTAGGAGTAGAGTGGAAAGGAGGCTAGGTAATTGCATACAAGTACGTGTAACTAAGAAGTTACTGGCGACTTTGTTTACAAGCTAAAGGCACCAGTTGATAGGTCCGTAGGCGTTACCTCCCTAACCTCATTCATGGAAGGTTCCACAGAGGAGGGACTGTGGTGCGCAGAGAGGACCTAGGTGGGCAGAAAGCTCTGAGAATGGGGAGAGGTGGTGGTGGTGGTTCTCATTTATTATGAGTAGCATCCAGTTAGTGAATAGTCTTAATGAAGGGGTTTGAGTTTTGACCCATTCATTCAGTAAATATTTCCTGTGCTTGAACTGTGCTTGACGCAGAGAACACAGGGGTGGGAAAATAGTGGATGACAAATCACGGAATGGATATTTTATTTTATTTTATTTTCTGTCTTGTTAAATTTATTGAGACTTGTTTTGGGGTGGAAAGTTCTGGAAATATCTATTAAGATCATCTGTTTTTTTTTTTTAAGATTTATTTGTTTTTAGAGAGGGGAAGGGAGGAGGAAAGGAAGAGAGGGAGAGAACCACTGACATCAGTGGGCGGGAGAAACGTTGATGGGCTGCCCGGCAACACAGGTGCCCTGACTGAAAATCAAACCAAGGACCTTTGATACGCAGGCTGGGGCTCAAGCCACAGACAGAGCCACACCAGCCAGGGCTGGAATGGATTTTATATGCGCTTGTATTTAATTTAGTTGACTGATCCCCTGAAGGTCATATTTTAGCAAGAAAGCCAGCCAACCACAGAATCTTGAGCATCATGGGTGACCTCTTACTGAACCAGGTAGAAGAACAGGAACGACTTCAAAGAGCAAATGTGAATAATTGAGGAATAAATCAGTTTCATTCAAGTAAGGGAAAATGGGAAACAAATCTGGAGAGGAAAGTTGGGGTGATGTTGGCTGGGGAGTTGGTACAGAGTTCCACAGAAAGTGAGCAGCCATCAGGGAGTGACCTAGCTCTTGCTGTGTGCTGGAACCGATAGAGAAAAGCAACACGACAGTGGTCTGTAAGGCACCATTGAGCACTGAGGAAGATGTATGCTCACACCTTTCAGTTTGACTGATTGGTGATGAGGATCTGAAGTTACACGCACTGAGATTTACTGTGAGAAGATGGGTGTTTATGCACAGCCCATGAGTATACATCACCAGTAACATAAAACCAGAAGAAGGTAAGTGTGCTATAGCAAAATTAAGGTAGCTTACGGTTATGGTTTTTGTCTCAGTCTGACAAGCATTCTATTGCACTTGCCCTGATTAGGGTATCATTATTGTTAGAAAAGAATTTTCTAAGTTCTTAAAAAGTACACCAAGGCAGGAGTTGAATGAAAGCAAATCATGGACACACTGGAATTATTCACCACCTCAGAGTTCATGTACTGATTTATAAAGTTTGTTGTTTTATTTTTTTTAAGTATTGTTATAGAACACCTTTGCTGTTGTGGCTCAAGGGATTGAATGCCTGCCTGCCTGTGAACTGAAAGGGCACCTGTTCGATTCCTGGTCAGGGCACATACCTGGGTTGCAGACCAGGTCCCCACTTGGGGGCGTGTGAAAGGGAGCTGATTGATGTTTCTCTCACACATCACTGGTTTCCCCCTTCTCTTTCTCCCTCCCTTCCTATATCTCTAAAAATAAATAAAGTCTCTTAAAAATGTATTGTTACGTAATATGTTTTAACAACTGAAGTTATTCATTTATACATTCTAACCTATTAAAAAACTAGGGATCCACTCACTATATGTAGATTGTGGCATGAAATAAATTACCTTTCCAGTAGCTCAGCCGAGCGTACTGAACTACAAGAGAAGATGTCTGGCTGCTACCTCCCCGCCCCACCCCTACGCAAACATGGCTTGTCCAGCTGTGAAATTATGTCCTTTCCCGTAGGGCCATTCATTGTGTAGAGGAAATTAGGTGGTAGACTTGAACCCAGAGGGCTGGTAACCTTATTTCTTAGTTTTCTTTAAAGCCTATATATACTGTTTAAAAATTATTAGAAAAACAGTTGTGGGAAAGATAGATAGCTTCATTAAATGTGACTCATAATGGTTTTACAGGCTGAAGGTTTTGATGGTTTCATAGTTTGGGTTTGTGTAAATCTAATCTGTATGTTCTGCCTCCCTAAGCAGGATTGTACCTGCCAAGTTCATGTGGATATTATTATTCCTTTCCTATAGATTCTTAGCAGAGGTGATTTAGGTCTTTCTTACACTGCTTTTATAGGTCATAAAATAACCCTAACTAATAATGTACTTTCTTTTATATGTAACTTTTAAAAGCTCCCTGCTTTAATTTACCATATTTTGCTGTGTATACTGTACACTTTTTTTGCCCAAATTTTTGAGGGAGAAATAAGGATGTGCATTATACACGGGTATGATGATTACATATGGTAGGCACAACAGTGGGTGTAGTCCATGTATAACGTGCACGAAAACGTGGGTGTACATTATACACAGGACGGGAGCATGTTATATATGGCAAAATATAGGTGAGCCTTTTTTTCTTGTTTCATCATTTGATGATATTGTTGATTTGGATGAGAAATCATGGAATGGATTTTATGTGTATTCATATTTGTTTATCTTGTGATAGTCTTATCATATGAACATAATCTAATCTTTCTGAATTCTGTTCCTTTAAGGTATTGTGTCCAGGTCTGGCACCCTTACTTATGAAGCGGTTCACCAAACAACACAAGTTGGATTGGGGCAGTCTCTGTGCATTGGTGAGGACGTTTTGCTGAAGTAATCTTATTGGAATGCAGTATATTCATTGAATGAGTATAGTAGTAGTTGTTTTAATTATTTGCAGAAGGTTTTGATACCATTTTATTAAAAAGATGTTAGGATCTTGAATTTAATTTGAGTAAGTATGAAGCTCTCCTGTATTTTTCAAGGTTTGTATTCCAAGATTCTGTGTTGAAGAATAAACACCCTTAGACACGAGGCTTCAGGGTGTCTCGGTGCCTGAAAACGTCACTCGTTTTGCTTGTTGTGAATAAGCATCCTTCATATTAGTACTTCTGTTTCTGTGATTATCATTTGCTGTCATTACGAGCTGTATAATTCAGCGCTTCACAGTTACCGAATTCTTTGCCATTCGTTATCTGAAGCTTAAGTTAACCCTCCGAGGTGTCTGTGAGCTGAAAAGTCAGTGCGAAAATCCAGGTCAGGGAAGGTTGAGCTCCCGGAATTACTGTTTTTTTGCTGTATCATACTGCCTCCTGCTTTTAAGAGTAAAGTGGCTTTCACCTTTTAAAATAATTTTGGTATTTGTTGCCAAAAGTTAGGCAAATGTCTCATTTGTGAACATAAATATTTCTTCAGATGTTTAGAATATCTTTTAAAAAGACTTCAAATATAGCTTGTTATAACAAAAGCTTGTAAAATATGGCATAGACTCTTTTTATTAAGGCTCAAATCCATAAAGTCAGACTTTTCTGTGTGTAAAGCACGGTCTTAGACTGTAGGGAACTTTGTGTGATGGAGCATAAGAAAGATTTTGAAAGGAGTTGCCAATTTCATCTTCTCCAGCTTCTGTTTTTAATTTGTAAATGGAGACTAATACTGCCTGGGTCACAGAGGGGCTGGGAGAATTCGGAGGTGGCAGGTCGAACACAGGCTAAGACATAGCACTGACACATGGTTGTCCCTCAGCACAAGCCGCTTTCCTTCCCGAGCTTCATTCTTCAGAGGTGTATTAAATAGGGAATCAGTCCTGCCTCCGGTAAGTTTATAACTTTAATAAAAAGTGGCATCCAGTCTGCTGGTTACATTTACTTTAATTCTATCCAAGTGCTTGTTCTTAAATGTCACGTACTTGGAGCGGAGCCCCTGTGTGCAGTCTCCGCCATCACCTGCGAGATCTAAGGGGAGGAGGGGCCGGGACAGCCTCCACCCTGCCCCCTCACTGGGACTTCTGTCTTCAGACCTGTGAGCTGTTCCTCTGAAATGCGCCTCATCTGGTAGTTACTTTGTGCAAAGAAAGTTGTTAAATATTTAATCAGAGAAGACATTCTTGCTTGCAACACAAAGATACATTTTCTTAAAATGCTCATTTTTTTTACAGATATTATTATTTATTTTTAGAGAGAGGGGAAGAGAGGGAAAAAGAAAGGGAGAAAAACATCTGTGTGTGGTTGCCTCTCATGTGCCCTCTACTGGGGACCTGGCCCACAACCCAGGCATGTGCCCTGGCTGGGAATCAAATCAGTGATGCTTTGCTTCACAGTCTGGTCTGTACTCATTCAACTGAGCCACAATGGCCAGGGCTTAAAATGCTAATTTTTAAACATCTAGGAATAATTTTGTGGGAGGGTTGATAAAGGAGCTAAAGAGGTTTTGATAAAGGAGCTAAAACAGAAAGGTTTTTCTTTGTGAGTATGAGAATCCAGCCATCATTTAGGATTCATGTAATATTACAAATAAATAATTACCATTTTGTGTGATTTAAAAAGTTTAGTGCAAGAGTAATGATGCATTTAAAAGTATTGGTGAGAACAGTAGGCAAAATAAGAAACCAGTTGAAACAACTTTCTTGGCCTAATTTCATGCTGTTGATATTTGACTTTTTCAGGCATTGGAGGTGATCCTTTCAATGGGACAGATTTTATTGACTGCCTAGAGGTCTTTCTGAATGATCCAGCCACAGAAGGCATCATCTTGATTGGTGAAATTGGAGGTAATGCAGAAGAAAATGCTGCAGAATTTTTGAAGCAACATAATTCAGTAAGTTTGATTTTGGGAAAATACTCCTCTTTACCCTTGAACAATACCACTGGCTTGTTTTGGAAGTTATTTTTATTTTCTTAATGATTACTTTTTCAAGAAGATGTGAAAGACAGAATCAAACCTTTCCTTTTAAAAATCATTTTACTTATAACTTTATTTATTGCAGTAAGAGTACTTAACATGAAAAAATCAAACCTTTCTGAGCTGGCCACTTAATAAACGCCTTCTTGGTTGAGTCTGCTTCTCCACAGTGCCTGTCCCCTGCTCCAAACCCTCCTCCCCGGGCACCACTTCCCACCTCTGTGGCGGGGAGGTGGCCTTCTGCTGACCGAGCTTGACAAGTCACGGGCCTAGAAGCCCTCACTTGACCTGTGATGCACTTTTTCTTTCTCTCGATCTTAGGGAATATGTGTTCTATCTCTTTTTAAAGGCGGGCCTGTCAAAGATCCTACCTTTTACACCCTTTTCCAGGATCTCACCTCCCTCTGGCTTTAGTTTTTCTTTGCAGGGTAGTACTTCCCTTCAGAGGTCAAGTGGAAAAGCTTTATTATCTGTGCCCCGTCAAGGCTTTCCTTGTTGCCTCTTCCTCAGAATTGAATGTAAAAAGTCATGTGGAATTGTACCATAATTTTCTTTAGCCTAAGGGTTAAGATTAAGCTCTATTTCTGGGGTAAAGAAGAGAGGGCGCAGTGGTGACCAAAGCAGCTTGGTGCCGGCCTGCCCCCACTTCAGTGAATGTGTGTTCTGCAAAGGCCTGGGGTGGGGAAAATAGCAAGCGGTTGCCAGGATTTCCCCGACACTGATGAGTGAGGAAGCACCTTCCGGAGGACAGGCAGGCGGGAGGAGGTCATTTTCTGTGTTTGTGAAAGAAATGAGGAGTGAATGGATTAAATGCTGCAGAAAAATAATGAATACTGGAGAGTTAAAAGACCCAATAGTATCACCTATGGGGTAGTATGTACAAAACAATGCGTATTTATTTGTGATTTAGGAATATTCAAGGACTATTTTGAATATACTTGATTCTCTCCTGTGGTGATTTTTAATTCTGATTTCTGTATAAGATGTAACTCAACTTTCCCCTCACTTTCTGGATCTGTTTCCTTACTTTTTATTCACTACCTGATCCTGAGCACTCTGGTGTCTGTCTGCTACTTAGAATCTGTGACCTTGGGCATGTTACTTAACTTCACGGTGCCTAGTTTTCTTTTTGGCAAAATAGGGTTACAATGGTGCCTGCCCCTAGTGTTGTTGTAAGGACTGTGGAGTTTAAATGTCTTAGCAGCATATACGAGTCACACCAGGCACGTAGCAAGCGCCCTTGTTGAGCTGCTTGCTGCTGCTGCTGCTGCTTCTGCTTCTTCTTCTGCTGCTGCTGCTGCTGAATTTTACTCTCCTGACGTTTTGGCAGAGGTCACTAGTGGTCTCAATTCATTCTTCATCCTCTCCATCCTCTTGGTTTTCCTCCGGGTTCTTCTCTTCTTTCTGTTCCTTGGGTTACTTTCTGTGCTTGTTCCTTAAGTGTGAATGGTTATTGCACACCAACAACGTCATCCTTCATGTAGTTTTCAGGGCAGAAACCTCAGAACCATTTTATATTTCTCCCTCCTCTCTGGTTTCCACTCAGTTACTGACATCTGTCTCTGAGGTCTCAGTAGTATGTTGAGATTCAGAGCATCATCTATAGTTAGTCCTTCCGATCTGGTTCAGTCCCTTATCTTATCTGACCTGGGCCACATTGATAACTTATTCCTGATATCTCTCCTTTTTTCCCTCCCACCACCCAGAGATAATTTGGGTGACTGTCATGCTTATGGTCCCCCAAATTATCTGCCCTTCTGAAACACAGACGTTGGAGCCTCCTCCCTCCTTGCTTTAAACCATCACAGTTTCTCGTTACGTGTGGGATAAAAGTCAGACCAAGCGTGGTATCCAGTCCCTCACACACCCACTGCTCTAACCTCTTTTGGGAACCCTGTCCTGTCTGACACGCCAGTTGTTGTTATTCACACTTGTCTTGGCTCACACCCTCAGCGAGGCGTGCATGATATCTGACGGTCACTCTGGACTGTACGGGCAGCAGGGACTGGTGCCCTTGGCGCCCAGCTCAGCCCTTGGTGCGGAAGTCACCAATAAGTGTAAGCAAAAGAATAAATAGATTGTTAGAAGAGTGGAATAAGATGTTAGTGGAGTCTCTTGAATTCAGAAAAGTGTAAAGTTTGAAATTTAAGTAGAAATTGACTTCTTTTTAGAAAAACACATTTAGGTTAATATGACATTACACTTTGTAAAAGTTAATTTTAAGACATATTGAGGCCCAGCTCCGAATCCCTTGAATAGCTTAGAATTTAATGCGGAAAAACTAAACTTACACATTTTGTTTCATTCCGCAGGGGTTTCCCTATATTCCTGGTTGGTTCTTACGGGTGAATTTTTATTGGGAACCTGCTAGGTGCAAGACTGTAGGTGGGCAGTTGGCATATACAGACTCAGCACAGAACCTGGCACAGCGGGACCCTCAGTGATGTTTGCTGCTGCTACAACTACTATTTTTGTCATCATTACAATGATGATAATTACTTGTAGAAGTAGTATTGCTTAACCTCTGTATTGACCCTTTGTCCTCTTATGAGTGAGGAAACTGGCCCAGGGAGGCTAATGACTTGCCTGTGGCTGGTGTACAGCAGTGACCTGGTGGCGGAATCCGTACCCGGGTCAGCCTGACGTCTCCGTCACAGCACGAGGGAGGGCTCGGGCGTCGGAGTTCAGGGAGTCAGGACAAGAGTCGGCAGTCCCTGCGTCTGCTCACACTGTCCTGATGGCTTCCTAACCGGTCGTTCTGGTTTTGGGCTTTCACTCTTGTCGTCATTTCTGTATCCTATTTTCAGACTACGTTTCCCTCAGAAGTCTTTTAATTGTATTTTTCTCTGCTTAAAAATCTCAAGTGACTCTTCTTTAACAGGATGGAGTGTAAACTCGTTCGGTATTTTAGACTCATCATGATCTCGTTCCTTTCCTAGTGCACTGTTCCCACTGTTTGAGTGTAAGTACATAGAGAGTAAGTGGAACTAGCGCCTCTCATGTATGACATGCTCATAGCCTCTGCAGAGCCCACCAGTGATGGGTAAATGTTTTGTGGCTTTTTTAATTTTTAAGTGAGGACATAGTCTGTGTGTTCAGGGAATTCATAGCTAGGAGGGGGCCACATGGGAAATAAGTTCCAGCTAGTGTACCAAGTGAAAGGCACAGAAGTGTGTGAAAGGCACAGGGCCACTGGACAGAAGATGGTCGGTTGTAAGGACAGTTGTGGAGAGTGTGGGAGGAAGAGTCAGAAAGGCTTCTGGAGGAAGAAGAGTCTCGAGAGGTCTTAAATATTAAGTAGAAATTTGCCAGGAATCCAAGGAGGATGGGAAGGCCCTCAGCAGAGGAGCAGGGGCGGAGCAGTGGAGTTACTGGGAGGCGGAGAGCCTGGCCAGGCTGCCGTGAACAGGGACCGTGGGAGCACACAGAACCTGCTGTGCTGGCCCCTCAGCGTGACTCAGGGCAGTGGAGGCAGCCCGCGCCAGTCATCATTCACGGCCGTGTGCTCCGGTTAATAAAAAAAAGAAAAGACAAAAAGTCAGTTTTACTTAAGAATGCCCAAATGAGGCAGTAAAAATCATTAGTGTAATTAAACCTGAACCCTTGAGTCAGTTTGTGACGGAATGGGAAGTAAAGTGCTTCCCCAGCTGAGCTGAACTAGCTGCGTGTTTCGTGGGACACCAGTGTTACCCAGAGGAACAGCTGGCAGACAGACTGGTGACCGACACTTAGGTATTCAGCAGACGTTTTCTCAAAAATGAACAAAGCAACATGCCATGTCAAGGAAAACAGCTCATCCTTGTTGCCAGTGATACAGTGTGAGCTGCCAAGTGAGTATCACTATTTTGGAAAACTTATGTCTGCCACCATGAACTTGAAGTTTCTCGCCACTAAAGACTTTTCTAATAATGAGATCAGTGGTGATACTGCTGAGTGTGATTTGTTGATCCTGAATGATGAAATGTGTCAGCATTGGGGAAATCTACACAACTCAGCGACCTGTATTTTCCGTCTGGACAAAGCACGTTACAAAATCATCATAGGCTATAGATCCCTTCAAAGTGCAAGACAGACCAATAGAGTTTGAGGTAACAAAGGACAAAAAGTTCATTGCTGTGGTTTCAGATTCCAACATTGCACCTAACCTTTACGAAATTACCGCTTGAAGAAGTTCATGTAGTATCAAAGAGTATCCACAGTTATCTGACAGACTATTAAAATACTTCTCTCTTTTCCAACCACCTATGTGTGTGAGGCTGGATTTTCCTCTTGCACTTGAGACATGTTGTAATAGATTGAGTGTAAAAGCAGATATTAAAATTTGTTTGCATTTTATTAGAAGTTCGAGAGTTGCAAATGTATAAAATAATGCCACCCTTCTCAGTGTTTTTTTAAAAATAGTTTTAGAGGTATTTTTAAATGATTAATAAGTATTTATAAAAGTTTTTAGTTGTGATTTCCAGTACAATAAATACTAGATGTAGTCCACATAGGTGGAAGTTCTTTGGGATCCTCAGTGATTTTATAGGTATAAGGGGCCCCAAGACCCAGCGACTTGAGAACTGCTGGTCCAGGGGAGGTGTTAGTGTCCGAAGGGAGGCACTTGGATGCTGCCGTCGCTCACTCACGTCCTGCCCTCCGCCCGCCTCTCTGTTTCACCCAGTCCCTTGTCGTCTCTGGACCCCCGTTACGAGCCCGGCTTTTTCATTCACTGTGGAATCTAACCATGTTTTTGTGTTGCTGTGAGGCATCTCTTAACTGATCGGTGTGTGTACATACATCGTTTATAGTATTTCTTCAACTACACTCTGAGCCTAGAGCACAGGAATTCTTGTATGTTCTGTGTGGTGGTTTTTATTTTTACCTCAGAATGTAATGCAGTGATGTTTATGCATGTAGAGGTGGCACATTAGAATGCATTTTTGTTGAATAAAATTCGTCCCGATTTTCCTTCTTAGACATCGTAGGGTTTCAGAGGGGAAAGGGCCTTGGCCGTCAGCCTGGCTCAGCGATTTCATTTCACAGGGAGGAAGCAGAGGCCCGTGAGGTGCCTCGCCCGCCTTCCTGCAGCTCCAGTCCAACTGGAGGGGAGCGTGGTGACTCCCATTTCTTCCCGAAGTACCTTCCTGCCTCACCTTCTTTTAATTTAGCAAAAAAACCTGTAATGAACTAAACCTTAAAATCAGGTTGAAATAAAACAACCTGTATGTTTTAACTTATTATTATCACAAAATCATATAACATATATTTTCACATTTGCTTTTTTGTGTGTATTTGTACAACAGTTTGTTCCAGTGGAGTGAAGTATAATATCTAAACAGACAAAAAAGTTGCTTACGATTGTTTTCCTGAGTCTGGATGACAAGTTGAGTCATCACAAAGGGGGGAGAACAGTGGTTCATGCACAGCTTGACCGCTGTGTTGGTTTTCTTAGCGAGGATGAGTGAGGGACCCTGTCCAAGCCGTTTACTGACAGTCGTGAAATTGGTGTTCAGTTTTGATCAACTCCTTCATTCGAGTGTGTAAAATACCACTTTTCAGGGTCCCAAGGCCAAGCCTGTGGTGTCCTTCATTGCTGGTCTGACGGCTCCTCCCGGGAGGAGAATGGGCCATGCAGGGGCAATCATTGCTGGAGGAAAAGGGGGCGCTAAAGAGAAGATCGCGGCCCTTCAGAACGCAGGAGTGGTGGTCAGCATGTCTCCCGCGCAGCTGGGAACCACCATCTACAAGGTGAGCTGTCAACACTGCTCTGATTTCTGGGCCTTGTAACTGGGGCCACTGAGGCCATTTCTTCTGGGTCTGATTGGTCCCTTCCTTCTGGTGTGCAGCTTAACAGTTCCTAGCGACTCTGGTTATGTCCTACTGTCCTAGTTGGGCATGACCAGGAATAAGGTTCTGATTTTAAAACTTTTTTTTCAATAATTGTAATCTGCTCCTCTTTATAAGTGGCAAGATGTAAGAAATACAAGAGAGCATTTCAGAGTCCATAAATACTATGAATTCCATTTTAGGAGTGGTGCAGAAAATTTCCTCATGGGTGTCCCCCCCGCCCCACGCCATGGAGGGCCTTTGGGATACAGCTACTCTGATCCCAGGTACTGTTTCTGGGTAAAGAGGAGGCAGTATGGAGGGAGATTTATAGAAGAGGGTGGGTGTTCCAGCCTTCGTTCCTGGCCCTGGATGGGTTGGGATGCCATGATTGTTACAGGTGGATAATGGACTGCTTAAGCATTTGCTATTCTTTTCCCTTTTTAATAGGACATTGTGGTTTAAAATATTCTAAGATTTGGTACTTCAGTAATCTCTTTGTAATGATTTTCATCCTATTTCTTTGAATGATCACTTAAGACTTTCTCTCTATTTTTATGATGATTATAGCCTTCACAAAAAAAGCAAACAAACACCAAGACTTTTTAAAGTACCCTGAAAAGAGGCCTAAATTGTATTCCCAGGAGGAATGGCACAATCTTTGCCCCTGTTTTCGGGATTCTAAAATGAACTCTGTGTTTTATTAAATCTTTGTATGATCCTGTCTTTTGGACTATGACATTGTGCCATAGTGTTTGAAAGAAATCTGGTTTGTTAGAGAACGTGTGAAGGCAGATTTTATTTAATCTGAGGTAAAGAAGGAAAAAAGCCATGCTTAAAGATTCACACTGGAGGCCTGCATTACCATTTTCTTCCAGTAAGTGGCAGCAGACATCTACATACACATTTGTTGTGTTCTAATTGCTACAACCTAGAGAAATGTGAGTTTAAGTACTGTTTCCTTTATAGATATTTCTGAGGTTCTTGACACTTTGTTCAAATTTAAATAGTGTCTTTAGTTCCTTTCCCTGAGAAACTAAGCAAACCTGTTTCCATTGCTTATTAAAAAGACCGTTGTGATTCATGTACTGCACTAAAGGTTTGAATAAGCACAATCAGGTTTGTCAGCTCCTACTAATAACACTGCAGTGGAAAAATAAATATAATTCTCAGCCTTTTGGTTCCCATTTTTAGGAAATGTAAAATTGAAGCTCAGTGAAATGCAGGCTGACACAGACTGATTCAAAAGCTTTGTGTTCAAGGACCCTCATCCTGGTACATTTTACTGCTGTAATTGCGCATGGATGTAATTTGGATCTTTTATCTTCTCCCCAACCTCTGTTTTTGAAGGAGTTTGAAAAGAAGAAGATGCTGTGAAAGAAAGTGTGAAGCCCTCCCTAAGCCTGTGGAATGAACCGCTGTGGAGAGGCGGCCCGGCCGCGGTGCGTGCCTGCTAGCACGGCCGTCGCCTGTGTGCCCATCCAGGCAGGTTTAGAAAGTTCTGTGCTGGGGTGTTTCCATCTCACTGGGTGGCAGAGATGGCCAATAAATCTACCATTTACTTGAACGTGGTGTGGGGGACTTCTTACTGTTCCAGTGTGGGCGAAAGTGGAGAGGAGGAGAAATGAAGGCGTACGTGTGCATGAGTGTGCCTGTGTGTGGTGTGCACGTGTGTGCGTGTTACTGGTCTCTGTGGAGGACCTTCTAACTAAGTCTTGGAAGAATGAGACTAAAAATTGTAGTGTGGCATTTGTGTAAATTATCTTAGAAAAAGAATGGCTTCCGGTCTCTTTTGAGCTGTAGTTTTCTCATGTATACATAATAGTCTTCATCTTGCAGAGTAGTTTTGAGTGTTAGAGTAAATACAGAAAGTCCCTGGCCACCACCACCATCCTCATCATCACCACCAGATTAGATGCAGGAGTTGGTCTGCGTTTCGTCTTTTGTCTGTTTGGGAGATGGAGGGTCTTCAGTAATGCTGTGTTTTTCTGCAGTTCTGCAGAGCGCTCTTCTCTTCCCCATCCAGGGTCTACATTTCTTTGCTTGAGGTTTAAGACATTCACTGCAAGAAAGCAGGAAAGCTGTTAGTCATCTACTGTTTTTTTTTTTTTTTTTTAAAGGGAGCTCGTTAACAAGAAGCAATTCCCATAGATCAGGGGTGTCAAACTTGTTTTCACCAGGGGCCATATCAGCCTCGTGGTTGCCTTCAAAGGGCCAAATATAATTTTAGGAATTATAAAATGTAACTACTCCGTAACTATGGGCAAGGAGCTCAGTGCTGTCATTGGGTAGAAACAAGGTGGAAGGCTGGATTCGGCCCACGGGCCTTGTGTTCGCCACCTGTGCTGTAGATGATCATTACTAACTAGGACAGAGAGGGCGTCCATTGTCAGGTGCATACATTTTGAAGTTGAAGAGACACAGAATATTTTCAAATGGTGTCATTTCTCTGACAGAAACAAACAAGAGTTTCAAAAATAACATGAAGGTGAAGTCCCCGAAGAAAGGCTGTTTGGGAAGGCCTCCATGAGTAGGAGGGACCTGAGGGCTGAGCAAGCACCCACCATGCAAAAAGGGTGTGCAGCCAGGCAAAGGGGCGGGGCAGAGCTCACTTTCCAGAGGTAAAGCCCCACCGAGGGCTTGGGGGCAGTTAGCCCCGGGAGGGGCTCGAGGACGTTTTGGGGAGACTGGGGAAACAGGTGGTTTGGCAGTTCCCACGACCGTGCCCAGGCTGCTGAGGGCACAAAGAGAGATGTCAGGAGATGGACTTCTGCCGCAACGACTCCTTTCGTTTCTGTTAGAGGACACAGGGGAGGAATTTAGTTCCAATAATAATGGACTACCTTGAACAGACTGACCTTCCCACGGATAACAATCATTAAATCTGGATAAGTAATTTATAAAGTATTTGAAAGCTCTGGGAAGTGACCAGAATCAGACGTGACAGAGGGGACTACCTGTGAGAAAGCAGCTCTCAGAGAGGTGAATCTTCTGAGTGTGCAGCCTTTTGCCTGAGGGCCCTGTCCAGTATGCAGTGAATTCTAAAACTTTACCAAGAATGAATGGCACAAGGTCATACAGAAAATCTGAAAGGCATATCAAAGAAATTGAATTTATAATAAAAATCTGCCATAAAGTAAATTTTAAGTTCTGATGGTTTTTCTGGTGAATTTTAATAAATTTAAGAATTAAAGAATACCAGTCTTACATTATTAACTCTTTAAGAAAATAGAGGGGAAAAGAACTCATCCTAAATTACTGGTTAAAGCCAATTTGATACCAAACCTGCAAAGATGTTACAAGGAGATTTTTAAAAAATGTTGACAAGTATCCCTCCTCATATAAAAACTCTTAACAAAATATTTGCCAATTGGTCCAGCAACATATGACAAAGTAAGGTTGTGACCAAGTGGTATTCATTAGTAGGAACATGAGTCAACATTTAAAATGAAGCATTTAATTTGACCGAATGAAGAGGAAAAAATCATAAAGTAACTTTAACAGTTTCAGAAAAATTGATAGAATTCATTACAAAATTCATGATGAAAAAACAAAAGAACAAAAAATCATTCAGCTAACGTGGAATAGAAGGGAGTTTTCCCCATGTGAGAAAGGACATCTATGAACGTCCTTGAAAAATACCTAATGGTGGAACGTGGGAAAACCTCCCCCCGACTAAAAACTAGGCAAGGACGTCGCTCTCTCCTGCTCCACGCCAGTAGAGGAAGTGCAGTACAGCAAGGAAGAAAAAAACAGGACCAGAAAAAACAATCAGATTTAACATTTTTACATTAAAAATGCTAGGAAATCTATTTTTAAAACCATTAGAACTAATACATTCATTTAGCAAGGTTTTAAGGCCAATATATTTTTGCAACAAAAATTGGAATATGGAGACCCAATATTGTCAACCAGTTCTTTTCAAAATAGTGTATTGATTCCAACTCAATCCTAATCATAATACTGTAGAAATTAGCAAACATTCCAAAATTCATATGAAATTACAAAAGACCTAGTAGAAAACAGTCTAGAAATAGAAATATGGCCAACCAATATATAGACATAAAAGTAATATAAATGGGAAAAAGAGGGGTTTTCAACAAACATTGCTAGACCTACTTACGTATCCATAAGGAAATAAATTCAGTCTACCTCCCTCATACACAATAATTCAAGGTTGATATAAGAACTAAATGTATAAGCTAATAAAGATTTTACAAGAAAATAGGAAAACCATGAAGCTGGAGTAGACAAACAAGTCTTAGCAGTGAACAAAAACAAACAAGAAAATGGACATTACTCTTTATCAAAATTAAAATTTTACCAAGACACCAGCAAGAAAATGAGTAGGCAAGGCATAATGTATGAGAAAGTATTCAAAATATATCTAAATATATAAAGAAGTGTTAGAACTAAGCAATAAAAAGCCAAAGAAAAAATAAGAACTTGAAAAATACCAAAAACTAATAAACACGTTAAAAAAGTGCTCAGCATCATTATTCTTTGAGGAAATGCTAATTAAAACACAAGAAGGTTCTGGTCACAACAAGGGTGAACATGGACACTGCACTCACCTGCTCTCATGGCCACATCAAGGTTATAACTGAATTAGGGAACAATAAACCTGGATAACCACCTGAAGACTCCCCGAATGGAAGTCCTAAACTAAGGATACACAGAAGAAGCCAAAACAGAGGGCTAAGGTGTGAAACCCACACCTCTATGGTGGTTGAGAATCCAGCGAGGTATCTCAGCTGCAGAGGTCCCTCATTAGGAGCAAGAGGTCTCAGTCCCAAGCCAGGTCCCCCAGCTCAGAACACCTGTGCTAGGAAGAGGAGTCCGCAAAACATCTGACTGAAAATCAACCAAGGCCTTTGGGAACCCAGACATCCTCTTGAAAGGTCAGCGGATGAACTCTTGTTTGCAAGCACTAACCTTGGGCTCCTGTGGAGGGACAGTGGCTTGGTGGCTGGCAGACACGTACAAGGAGAAACAGTTGTGTGACTTCTGGGCAAGGGCGGGAGGGACAGCTGCCACTGTTCTGGTGTTAAGCTGCCCTCCCAAATGGCCAGCACAGAGGTGCCATCTTTTCTGTGTTGAGCCCGCCTCCCTGTCGCACTGCTAAATCTGAATCTGCATTAGCCTGAAGAACTCCACTAGCTCCACCCTGACGACTCCTTGAGACCCTGCCCCAATGCAAAGGTGCACAGGCCCCAGGCTGGTGAGAGCTGGCCTTGGTGGAACCTCAGACTTTTGTTGTGGTCAGGCTCGGGCTGACCGCTAGTACCAAATCTGAATCTGTGTTAGCCTGGTGAATGAATACCACTCACCCGCCCCGGTGACTCGCTGAGACTCTGAGTCACCCGCTTGCACTCAGCCCAAGGTTCTTTCAGATGTTGAGCCTTATTTTAAGGCAGATTTGAAAAGATGCTTCATGTCATGAATCATCAGAGAAAAGCAGATTAAAATCACAATGAGATATCACCCTACACCAGTCAGAATGGCCATCATCAGTAAACCAACAAGCGTAAGTTGCTGGTGAGGAAGTGGAGAAGGGGAACCCCTGTGCTGTCGGTGGGATTGAAAACTGGGGCAACCACTAAGGAAAACAGTATGGAGGTTCCTCAAAAAATTAAAAATAGAATTACCTTATGACCTTACATATTTTGCAATAGATAAGTGTATCAAATCAACATATGGTACACCTTAAATTCCCAAAATATATCTCAATAACACCTCAATAAAAATGTTTTAAACAAGAGGAAAAAAAACCCCACAATGACACACCACTCACGACCTTCACTGTTGCAGTGAAATGGACTTTGATGCCCAGAATGCCCCACGGGGGGGGGAGGCAGTGGCCGTCCAGCACGTCCACTCCCTCATTTAACACTGAGAGTTCGGTGCCAAGTGTTTTTGCAACCCATGGATGGCAAATACCACATATGACGCATAAGGGCGCATCAAAGAGGACGTTATCATCCTGAACTGCTATTGAGAGGCACCCAAACTCTTTTCTGTATCACAAAGCAGAGCTATAAATAGTTACCAGGAGTCAAAGTGACACTGGTCTCAAATAACATATATTCGAGGTAGAAGGTCTGGGCTGGGTAGTGGGGAGGTGGGAAGGGCCCTGTGGGAAATGGGGAAGGGCACGTGTAACCAGTACTGCTAAAACGGAAAGGATTTAGGATTTTTTTTCCCAAGAAAAGAGATGGCTGAGAGGTAAACGGACTGTAAGGTTAACTGGAAATGATAAGCATTTAAGATCCCAGATTCCTTTTTATATCTGATGAATGCTGTGGACTCTACCCAGGAATGTTCTGGGGGGGTTGGAAGAGGCCTCCCCAGACAGGCCACTTTTGTATGTGGGTTTTCTTAAGCTTAAGGCAATTGAGACCCTGAAGGCTCATGAGAAACTTTGTGCCTCTCCTGTAAAGAATTTAAATTAAGCCTTGCCCATAATAAGAGTTATTACCAGAAATAACCTTTCATGACCTATTCACAGAGCGGGGCAAACTACCTGAACATCGGCTCTTCTTACTGCCCTACACACTGCCCACCTCC